TTTCCTATATAGGAAATGTGAATGGACCTATATTCGAGTGTCCATTCATTTTTCATGAATGGACACTTCCTGATATCTGGGGCAGGAAACACAGCCTTATATGGTGTTTTTGGGGTGGTAATTATGCTAATCTCCTCTCTCGTGCACGAGCAGCTGGATAGAACAGGTGAATTTACGCAGCTCATTTACACACTTTTCCTGAAGATAGAAGCGTTTGTTGAATCTGACGTGACATGTTCGTACGAACCCTTTGTACGAACAAAAGTAAGAGAAATTTAGGATAAGAATACGAACATGTTCTTGCATGAGGCCCATTGAGTCACTTACTGGGATTGCCTGGTTTAGTTACTGGGATCGTTGGGTGCTAGGTACTGGGATCATTACATCTGTTTACTCAAATAATTGGGTCTGTTTATTGGGATCGTTGAGTCACTTACTGGGATCATTGGTCTGTTTATTGGGACTGTTGAGTCAGTTACCGGGATTGCTTTGTTTAGTTACCGGGATCTCTGGGTCTAGTACCTGGTATCAGTGGGTCTAGGTACTTACTGGGATCATTGGGTCTTGTTAGAGGGACTGTAGTTTTGGTTCTTCTGGTTTCTTGTTGTAAACAAAGCATTATTTCAATCTTTCAGTTCTTACAAGCATCCTGCCTCAAGTGGTTTCAGGGGATATGGGATGAAATGTGGTCTTAAAGTTCCTGCCCTGGTTTCAGTCTGACCTCCATGTGTTTCTGTATTAATGCATATTACATAATCCATCCTTCAGTTCCTTCTATTTTTAGACCGATGCCTGAGGTAAAGGGTCCACGTTTTTGTGACCCAGTTTATCATTTTTCTGCCCCACTCTACTTCCTGTTGTTGTTGTTCTTGCTGTTTACTGGTGTAAACAACCAAAAATCAGAATCTCTGCTTGTGAGACGGTGAATATGAGTTCATCCATGTCAGATAATATTTAAAAGTGAATTCTGTAAGAACAAAATCAAGATTAAGGTTTCGGTCTCGATGTATTTAAAACTGACCCATTAAAGGAAACTCTTGAAGGGTTTTGTCTCCAGAGGCTTTCAGCTGAGTGATGGTGGAGTGGAGAGGTTTGACGTCAAGAAATCTGGTCTTGAGACCGTCTGAGACCCTCACTGATGAGTTCTCCTCAACTTGAACTGGACAGGATCTGATCTTTGTCCAGCCTTGTTGGGGTCTGGGTCACAGGATCTGATATTTATTGTGTTTTTGTTGAGGTGTCGGGGTCTGGGGGACAGGACTGAGGGATCAGAAGACGAGTTTCCCCCCTCCATCTCGTTCCTGACCAAACAGATCCAGAACCTGAAGAGGAGAGTCCGCAGGTTTGAGGATCAGTTCGAGCAGGACATGAAGTACAAGGTAAGACCTGATCTGGTCCTCCTGCGGTCGACTTTGGTCCTCGTTGGTTTTGATTGTTTTTAAAGTTGACAGGCTGCAGATTTACTGATTAATTTAGATATTTTATTAATATTATTACAATAAATTAGATATTCTGCTGTTTGGGTAATAAAAATAAATGTTACAGGTTTCATTACAACATCAGCTTTATTTTTCTTCAAATGCTCCAGAAATTAGCCTGATCCCACAGAGTCTGCTGTGAGACATTTCTCTGTTGTTAATTACTGAACTGAAAACTTAAAAAGGCTGAAGTCAATACGCTGACATGTGTGAACTGTTAGGTTGAGATTTGAAGTTAATGTTTAATTAAGTATTGATAATGAACTCATATAATCTAAGTTATTTAGAGAGAAATGAAACTTTCCGTCTGTCTCTGTTTTGGTCTCGCAGCCGTCTCACAACGATAAATATTCCAACCCAGAGATGCTGAGAGTCATGAGTGAACTGGCCAAAGCACGAAAACAGCTGAAAGGTAAACCCAAACCTGTGGTTCTGTTTTCTCCGTGGATCTTTTTCAGCACTTGGAGGATTCTGTTTGTGTTTGAGTCAAAGCAAACATGTTTTCTGTTTTTCTTTAAACTACAGAGACAAGTTGTAATGGAATGATACTTGTTGATGTAGGCCAGGGCTGTTCAACTGGAGGCCCACGGGCAAAGTTTGGTCTGCCAATTGGTTCATTCATCTCTTAAGCCCAAAGCCCTGGTTTTCTACTATAATTACTCCAAGTTCTTTTAGCTAGACATAGACATGTTTGGTATCTACAGAAATGTAAGAATCTTGGCTAGAAGCTGGTAAAAACGGTTAGGGTTATGGTTTCTATGAACATCCAACACAGTTAAAACTACAAGCAATTGAAGATAAAACTAAGAAAGTGAAAAAAGTATTGTTTTAAAAATTTGGCAAGTCAGAGATGCCAATATTATTTGTGTAAATAAGAGGCATAATGTGTTATTTTTGTTTTTGATATTGTTTAATTATTTTATAGGGTTCTGCATGTTGTAATCATGATTACCGGTAAATGCAGCAAAATAAACTCTTTCAAATGTAACAGATCTTTGTAATACTTGGTTTATTTACATAATAACTTTAATTACTGGATGTTCGGCCCCTCACCTGTTGACCTGCAGTAACTGTGGCCCCCGGAGCAGTTTAGTTGAATAGCCCTGATCCAGGCGATTCACAAGCTTATGTGCAATCTCATGGCTGAAGACTGTAATGTTTACTCCTTGGTTCAAGTCAATCGGGATAAATCAGTCAAAAAATGCATCATGAAGAGAAAAAAAACATTTATATAAGTCGCTCCGGTGTATAAACCGCAGGACCAGCCAAACTTTGAGAAAAGTGTGACTTACAGTCCAGAAAATACGGTACTGTTTCAACATACAGATCGGATCATGATGTCACTCCCAGGCCAAAAGAAAGAAAAATAACAGTGATAAATCACAATAAAAGAGTGATTACGCCATTAGATCTTGTCCTGGTCATAAGACATCCCAATCTGGTGATAACCAAAAGAAAGAGTAAAACAACTGAAGTCATTGACCCCCCACCCCTCTCCCCTCCTTAGCTGTCTGCACTGTTTTACAGAGTAGTGTTTTTGAGCGTATGTTTGTGTGTTTTCTGTTTAAAACACAGGATCAAAGCTCTTTTTTTAACTCACCCTTCCTATGTGTGTGTATTCTAAACTGCAAAGGTAGCGCACCAAGTTGCGAAAGACCCTGGACACTCGTTCCCCCATGTTTGTCATGTGTGTGTGTTTAAACTGCAAATTTTGTTCTGCACTGCATCTTGATGTTGTGTGTGAATGACAATAAACGATTCTGAAATTGAGTCAGTTGAATATCTTAGAACCTGACCTAAGAACAGATCAACAAGTATCATTCCATTCCACACATGACGGCTACAGGTTCTGCAGGTTCTGAACCTGTAGAAACATTTCCTCACCATTCAGACAGAAACCTGATAAATCAGATTTAATGAAATCTTTTAGATTCTGCTCAGAGGGTTTCTGTGTTTCAGAGCTGAGACTCCGACAGTCGGTGTTTGAGTCCAAAGAACCGGAACCCTCAGACGTCTGCAGGTAAACAGATCAGAACCTGATCCTGAACCACGTCTGAACCCAAACCTCTTATTGTTCTGACTGGCCCGTGTTCGTGTCGCCCGCCGCAGGTTCGGTTCTGGCCAGATCGGGTCGTCGGACCACAAGCCGTCCCTGGAGGAGACGGTGGAGTCTCTGCTGAGGCGTCTGAGAGAGAAGAGGAGGTCTCTGGGTCTCCCCGACAACATGAAGGTCCGCGCTGAAACAAAAAAACGTCCCGCCGGGCTCATCCCCCCGGTTCTGACTGAGTTCTGGTTCCTTCTGTGTGTGCAGGAGATGACTCAGGCCCAGATGGTTCTGGAGAAGATCACGCTGCAGAAATGTCTGCTGTACTTCGAAAGCGTTCACGGCCGACCGGTAAACATTTCAGCTTTTTGTATTTGGGATAAAAACACTTGACTTTATTTCATAAACATTTATTTGTTTAACAATAAAGTAAGATTTATTACTAGTATAACAAATAATAAAGCCTCCAGGATCTTAAAAAATGATTTTAAAAGTGAAAAAGTTGAATTATTTAATTCTGAGAGATGTTCTGATTTTATCTTCTTCACTTCAGGGAAAAGATTTGGACAGAAAAAAATAAATATTTTAACTCAGTTTTTTAGTTTAGTTGCTGGACTTCCTTCTCCTGACAGCAGGGGGCACTGCAGCTTTTATTACACCTTTAATAAAACAAGTTAAAGTGATTCAACGTTTTTCTGATTTTTATGAAGTTTATGATTGATTGATTGATTGATTGATTGACAGGGAACAAAGCAGGAGAAGAACCTGGTGAAGCCTCTGTATGACCGGTACCAGATGATCAAACGCTTACTGTGTGTCAGCCCCACCATCTGTACTATAGTGAGACACACACACACACACACACACACACACACACACACACACACACACACACACACACACACACACACACNCACACACACACACACACACACACACACACACACACACACACACACACACACACACACACACACAGAATCCCCTTTCGTTGAACCAAAGTCCAGCATGGAGTAGAATCTCTGTTCCTGCCTGTCAGGAGGAAGAGGACGGTTCTGATGAAGAGTCTCCGAGCTCCTCTCTGGGTCCTTCTCCTCCTCCTCCTCCTCCTCCTCCTCCTCACCGGGGGACCTGGTCGGCAGCCAGCGAGGAGGACAGCGACCGGGACAGCGACCCGGCCTTCGTGTCTCCGATAGACGAAGTGAAAGCCGTCCGCCAGCAGGCCGCTCTCACCACCGCCAACCTTCACGAAGCTTCCAGGTGAGTTGGCAGATCTGCAGGTCTTCTTCAGGTGAGCTCTTCTTCTGACACACCTGTTGTCCCCCCTGCCCCCCACCCCCGCCTCGGTCCAGGTCTCAGCTGCTGGAGTGTCTGCGGGACACCAGAGCCGAGAAGAAGATCAGGCGTAAAGTTCTGAAGGAGTTTGAGGAGGAGTTTTACCGTCAGACCGGACGGTGAGTACAGCGGGACACCTAACACGGTTTCATGTCCCTCACGCTTTACTGACGGGCTTTACCCTGGACCCTGACAGGATCTGCCAGAAGGAGGACCGCAGTCCCATGAAGGACGAGTACCAGGAGTACAAACAGCTGAAGGCAAAACTCCGCCTGCTGGAGGTCCTGCTCAGCAAACAGGACGCCACCAAAACCCTGTGAGGAGACAAAACCTGCAGCTGACTGAAACCACATGAGCCCAGAATGTAGGACAAGACCTGGACACCTGTCCTGTGTGTTTTTATATGTGACTAAAATAAGTCCAACTGGATTTTACATGTCTGAGACATGTCTGACAAATGTGCAACTAGATTTTACATGTGTCTGAGACATGTCCAACTGGACTTTATATGTGTCTGAGACATGTCCCACTGGATCTTACATGTGTCTGAGACATGTCCAACATGTGTCCCACTGGATCTTACATGTGTCTGAGACATGTCCAACTGGATCTTACATGTGTCTGAGACATGTCCAACTAAATTTTACATGTGTCTAAAGCATGTCCAACTGGATCTTATGTGTCTGAGACATGTCCAACTGAATCTTACATGTGTCTGGGACATGTCCAACTGGCCTGTAACTGTCTGAGGTGTCCATTATGAACTTTGATATTTGTCCAACTGTCCCGTCCGTTGATCCATTATTTTCCACTTATCCAACGTTAGGTTTCAGAACTAACAGGTCCACAGAGAAAACTCAAACATTTGTCTCCTTGTGTCTCTTGGAGGACCCCAATGTCTTCTCAGGACAAAGATTATAGATGATCCCATCAGAGAGTTCTGGCGTGTCTCGGTCTGGTTTGTCCCCGAACCACATCTTCTGCAAAAAAGCAAAGCTGAAACCCGGAGTTTCACATTTCATCATTTGTTGTAAATGAAATCAGCCTGACATGTCCAACACGTGTCCACCATGAGTCCAACACGTGTCCACCATGAGTCCAACACGTGTCCACCATGAGTCCAGCACTTGTCCACCATAAGTCCAACACGTGTCCTAAGAGTCTCTGTCATGTTTATAAAATGAATATGGTGTCCAGCCTGTCTGAGACTTCTGACGGAGTTAAAATGTGTCCTTTGTGTTTGAAGTTTGTCTTAAAGCTGAGTCATGTATTTGACATGTGTCTCATGTCTGTGCCCTCAGCATCAGTCCAACCTGATCTTACCCCCCCTCAGACCAAACGCTCACCAGCGTCTTGTCGTTTCCGTGTCGGTCCTTTTAATCTGAGCAGGCCCGGTCCGGATCTGACCCTGGTCATGTTGTGAACAAACAGTCCTTCCACCTTTGACAGGGTTTGGACATTTTGGACGTGTCTGAGTCCAGCTGAAAGCACTTTGATGAGTTGTAAATTTCTGGAGGGTTAAAAGTTGAGATTCTTTATTTTACTTATAATAAAAAACTAAAACTTCCTAAAATAACTTTTATTTTTATGGCTTAAATAAAGGTTTATTACACATAAATCTAGAAAAATATAGAGGAAGAAACCAAATACTGCCCTGATATAAGACTATAAATATTAAAAATAATAAAATATTTAAATTAACTTAATTTAAGCTCCATCAAACTAAAAAAATGAAGCTAGTTGAGCTATTTTACAGTTGATTATTTTACTTTATTGTCACAGTTTTTACATTTATATATTTTTACGTTTTTATTTGACATTTGTGCCTTTATTGATCAGAGTGGGATTTAAATGTAGCTGACATTTAAACAAACATGTTACCTCTTTTTCTGAAGGAAACAATCATTTTACAAGCTGTCGCTTTAAAATATAAAAATATTGTTCAAAAATAGATTTAATAATTCAAAGAAATCAGAAAAAAGAGCAAATCTCCACTCATGAATCTAACGGTTTTAAAACGAGACAGGATGAGGTTTTATCAGCCTCTTTGTGTGGAATAAAAACAAAGACTTTGTCTTCTGTACTCCTGATGTCTCAGCGTCCAACTGGACTAAAAGTCTTCGGGTTCCTTAAACTGCTGAGTCATTGTTGACGTGACCTTCTTCCTGCTGCTGTGATATTTATTGTTCCTGTAATCTGTAATCCTGGTCTGCCTGAAACATTTCTATACAAACACGTTGAAAATAAATATTTTTGGTACAAAAACAAGTTTGTTGTTTTGATTTGATCAGAGTATTTAGGGGTTTGACAAAACTGAAGGGAAAACTTACCAAGATAAAACGTTAGGACAACAAATGTAGACACTAATATTTAAAGGAAAAAAAACTGTGAAAAATGTATATCTGAGTATTTATTAGTTTCCAGGACTAACCCTGAACTTGTGCCTCTATTTAAATCTGCAGTTTCAGCTGCAGGTTGATCCATTTCTGAATCACTGATGTGGACACAGTTTGCCTCTGATGTCACTGATGGTAGAAGCTGTCGGTGACTCTGAAGACGTCAGACGAGCCTTCGTACGGCGTGATGACGGGCCGCAGGCCCTTCATCTGTTTGTAATGTCCGAAGTGTCGGATCCTGTAGGAGCCGGCGGGAGCCGACGGAGGAACGAACCATTCAACTGTGGCATTACTCTGTCGATTAGAACCTTTCAGCCAGTGAAACCTGGTGAAACAGAAAGACCTCACTGACAGCTGGAGGGATGGACTTCCTGGATTGTCAGTTTTTAAAGTTATCAGTGCTAATTTTCAAAGTTTTTGTTGTGAGCAGGTTTAACTAAGACAAAGTTTATCTAGTTGTTCTGCTGCTATGGTCTGAAACTCTGTTATGGGGTGCTGGTTTGTAAAGTTACACAGTCAAAAATTACCAATATTTTGCTTTATTTAGCCTTTCATAAGAAAAAAATAGGGGGTTATTATTTCAAAGTCAGATTTTCACCATGTTATTCATACATTTATAAATGTCATAGTTCCAAATAAAATATTCAATTTACAAATTAAGTATTTAACTCCAAACTAAATATTTAACTCCAAACTAAATATTTAACTTGCAACTTACCGTATTTATTCATGTATAATACGATCTCATGTATAATATGATCTCATGTATAATACGACCCCCCCTTTTTTGAGCTTAAAAAGCATAAAAAATTTAATCCTCAAACTACCTCCAATTTCATACAGACTTCAAGATTTTTCAGCCTTTGCAGTCTTTATACATATCAGTAAAATGATCATTGGACTGTTCATTTTATTTTAACAACATATGTACTAAAAGGTATTTTGACAACAAACATATATCAGCTGTAGCAGCATCATATGAATTCTGGCATTTTACACATAGTCCACCAGGAGGCGCCAACACAAAAGTCAGAGACTTCACATGAGATTTGGACCATCTTGTGGGAGAAAAGCAGATTACTTCCTACTCATGAGCGCCCTCTCTGGTGGGGAAACGTGGTGGGGAGCTTTTTTTATTTTTATTTTTTACAATTTAGATAAGTAAAACTAAGAAAACAAAGATACCCTGGTCATAAGTTTATCAGCAAAATATTTTGTTCTGGTGTGAATAAAACTTAAAACCTTACTGCACCCTTTGTCGCAGAGAACATGTCTACAGATTAACCCACCTGGTCTCCCATGATGCATCAGTGTGGACCACCTCCCAAGTTTCTGTTCTGTTGTCATATATCTCCACAGCGATAAATGTTTTATCTCTCTGCACACAAACACAGAAAGTGACTCCACTAAATGACAACAAACAACGACTAAAAGCAAAATACACAAAGAATAATAAAAAAATCTCACAATGTCTCCAGAGTGTCGAGGGTTTCCTGCTACAAATGTGACAGAAACAACATCGCCCTGAGAAAAAAAACATGAAACCAGTTAAATTCATATCAACTTAAATATAAACAGCAGGGTGTCATCAGCAAATGGGTGGATTCTGATAACCCAATGAAGTAAACCTGTTCCCTACCTCCCTGTAGACAGTGTCAACCTGTTCCTTACTTGTCTGTAGATGGGGTAAACCTGCTCCAAGATGTCTCCAAAGCTGCTGTTTTCTGGTTTTTTGTCCACAGTAGCTGCACCCATTAGATTAAAAAGATTGCTGGTAAAGAAAGGAGGCTCAGGTCCAGCAGGAAGCTCTAACACTTTGTTCTGAAATTACAAAAACACAATAAATTTAATGTACAAATTTAATTATTTTAGTTATGTGACAAAACACTTTTTTATCAATTCTTTTCTTATTACCTCCGCCAAGGGCGAGGTAATGTTTTCGGTCGCGTATGTCTGTCCGTCTGTCTGTCCGTCTGTCGTTCTGTCTGTGGACAAAATTACTCAAAAACTTGTGGACGGATTGTCATGACATTTTTACCACATGTGGGTACTGGGCCAAGGAACACAACTTTAAATTTTGGTGATGTTCCAGATCACGATGCGGATACAGGATTTTTTTTTCTTTTAACACTCTGACATCGGCAAAGCTGTGACGCTTTCACAGGGCGTGGGTTTCAAAGTGTCCAGCAGGTGGCACTGTAGTTTTGGTGTGCCCCTTTGTAACTCTATTACAGGATGGGGGAAATTGGTCTTGGCGGAGGTTTGCACTCTCCGAGTGCTTCGAGTTTTTTGTTAATTCACAAGTTTTTAAACTTTATTTGTGCCTCCATCTAATGGGAAGAATCACTTTCATAACCTTACAGGGTAAAATAAGTCCTCAGTCTCACCTGAGCGATGGCTCTGGCTAAGCCCCGGTATTTGTGCAAGTAGGCAGTAAGCGTATGTGGACCGTAGATGGTAGATGCTCCTTCATATCGCTGCACCTAAACAACACAAACATCAATTTGTTTACATTTTTTATGTTTCCAATCATTTCTTTTTAAATTGAAAACTTAAATAATGTTTCATTTTAATATTTTTTACAAGGTTTTCTTAGATTTTACATGAATACCTGGTACTCTTCATAGGTGGTTATGTAGTGAGTATAGGTGTTACTGAGTCCAGCAATCACCACCTCTATGTTCTTGAAGGTTCCCTCAGACTCCAACTCCTGGTACATGGTAATAACATGTGATATTACCACATGCCTACACAATACGTGACATGTTGCAAAAGTTGTTTGTTTTCATGACATTGCTCACCTCTCTGACAGCCTGTCGTAATCTCCTGCCGGACATGGTGCTGTTGGAACAGATTTACAGAATAAAATCAGGACGTAGTTATTCTACAGACAGCTGCCTTGTTGTTGGTGTCACTGCAGGAATTTACGTCATTTCTCCAGGGACAGCTATCACCGCTACAGAGCCGATGGTGATGATCTGAACATCAACAATCTGAGGATGCCATGGCAGAGGCCAGTTCATCTGTACACAATTAACACATAGGATGTGTTAGCATCCATTACATTAACAACATTCACATGGAAAACTGGTCTAAAACTATTTACACATCATTTGCTGTCTTGTTTGTATTTGTTTAAATTAAATAATAAAAAATTTGAAATAAGATACTTAATGATATGTTTAATGATTGGGAGGGTTTGATGTGTCCAACTTCTGCCTCACCTCCCCTGTGCTGAATAGAATTGGTTTAGGATGGTGACATTTCTTTGTCTCATTGGACGGCGGTCCCAAAAGTGCATCTCTAATCCCATCCCAGAATGGGTCCCCTTCCACAGCCCCTTCACAAAAATCAACACAAACAAGCTTAACAAGTGAAAGACCAAAACAGCAGAATGACAAGAAACAGAAAAGTGACAGAAGTTTCACCCTGGGTGAAGTTCAGGTCTCCTCCTCCGTCTGTAGTTCCTGCTGCAAAACTGTGGCCCAGAGCAGGTTTACATGTACTGACCTAAGCACAGAAATATGAACTCAAACAGGCTGTACAAGTTGTAAAAACTGAAGTTCATGCTACAAGAAATAACAGTTAAAGGTCTATACAAGATCTGTATACCGTATATTGAAAACTGAGAATGTAATAATAATAACTAAAAATAAATAATAATAATAATAATAGGTAACTTCATTAGATATGGAATAAATATGTTACACAAATAACATCACTATAGTTTTAAAAAAGTGTAGCTGACCAGAACAAGCTGAAAATTTAAAAATGACAAGACCAACAGAGAATAATAAGAAACAAATAAATAAAAATATAAAAAGTAAAAAGGTGAGAATAGAATCAATCGAATAAAGATAAATGTCAAATAAAAAGTGTAGAATTAATTATTATTATCATATTAATCAGAACCACAAAATCAGGATAATAAAACTTGAAACAAACAAAAAATAAAATTAAAAAATGTAATTTGAGGATAGGATAGGGTTAGGTACATGCCTACTGGAAAGATTGTGCTGATAATTGATTAGGTTTAAGAAAAGATTTAAAGCTACATAAACGGATTTAAGTTAAAATAATGCCCTAATAAAGATAGAAATACAAACTTGAATGTGTTTCTGTGTGTGTCTATTAACCTTGTGTGTGTTGTTGATCTGAACAGTCACGTTTGACATGTCGACCCACTGATGAGCAAACTGAACGGGACCAGTCACTTCCTCAACTGCAGCTGCATAGAGTTCCTGCAGGGGGCAGCAGCACAAACACAAAGATGTTTTCCAAAGATTATATATAAAAAATACATTTTCCTCTGAAACTGAGATCCAGACAATAACAATCATCAAGCTAAAACAGAAATAGTACAAAGTTTAACTACATGAAGACATACTTTTAATGTGTCCCCATTAAACAGGTTAAAAACCAGGGTCCCCACAATGCGCTTAAACCAGTAACTGTGTTACAAATTATGTCAGTTTTTATTTCCTCATATTTCTCTGCTTAGTGACACCAACCCGACAGATAACAGGTGCAGACAAATAGGTAACAGGGGCAGACAGACAGGTAACAGGTGCAAACAGACAGGTAACAGGTGCAAACAGACAGGTAACAGGTGCAAACACACAGGTACCTTGGCCTTCATGTATATGTTGTGTCCAATGATTCTTGTGCTGTCGAACATGTCTTCTCCAGGTCCAAATGCTTTACACTCCTTAGTCTGATAGATAATATTCTGAGCTCGTAAAAAAATTGATGACTGTGTGTGTATGTGTGTGTGTGCATGTGTGTGTGTATTTACCCCTCCAACAGGACAGGAACTGTTCACATAGTCACAAGGCAGTCCTGTGTTCAAACAATAAGGTCCTTTAGTGTTTGGACTGACATCTCCCAGGTTACTGGAGGAAAAACCGGAAACAAAACTTCCCTGATAAAAAAAAAAAAAACAGTGAAGGAATGCTGTTTTAATCTACGTAAAATCATTTTTATCAAAGGGATAAATGTTGAAATTACTAAAAAAAAATTTTTTTCTGTCTGACTCCTAAATGTTTTTGGAGTGCTGATTATCCCATTTTTTTTGATTCTTCAGGACCAGGCACTCATTTACTCTTTCCCCTTTTTTGTAAGAAAACTGAGTTGTGCACACTAGAATTTTTTTCTTATAGACTCCTAAATGAAACATGAATCCATGAACAAATTATTTTTTAAACACTTCTTAAACTTAGCTTAAACAATTACCACATCTCATTTTAGAGGTTTGTCCATCAAATGATTCCATCATGTAATGCCAGCCTTGTCGTACCTGTCCAGGTAACTGTCCGCGGTTCTTCTCCTCCTCCATCAGGTAGGAAGCATAACCCATATTATCACTGCTCACCATGCGGTTGGTGTAGTTC